CCGTGCCAGGCTTTCCTCTTGCCAGCTCTTCAGTTATCCTTTGACCTTTATTAATTTATTTCATGTAACTATGAGCCAGACAATCCAGTGGCCACGTCTGCTGGGGCAGGAATGGATCAGAAATCATTTCCACAGCCACAAAGCAATGATTTTTAAATTATCTTCTGTTTTGCCTTATCTGTGCTTTGCTTCTGTTCACTAAGTAATAATTCTATGAAGGAAAAAAAAAAGTTTTTGCTAACCTTGGAGAAGGTGGAGAGAACAGCTTCAATCAGAGGTGATTTTGTGCCCCAGGAAACAGTTGGCACTATCTGGAGACATTTTTGGTTATCACCATTTGGGGAGGTGGGTGGCGGATGCTATCGGCTTCTAGTGGGTAGAGGCCAGGGATGTTGCTACAGCACCCAGCTCAGGCCCCCACAACACACAAGCGTCTGGCAAATGTCAGCAGTGCTGAGATTGAGAAACCTGCCTTATACAGTTTGCCTTCTGTCTTCCCTGTGATCTAGTTTAGAACGTACTTTCTCGTTCCTTAGCCTTTCTGGTTCTCACAGTCACCCTGATATTTAGTCGTTATTATGATAAAGATCCTCATTTTACAGGCAAGGAAACTGAGGCTCAGAGAGGTAAAGTTATTAGCTCAAAGTTACCTAGCCGGGAAGTGGAGAGGAAGGATTTGAACCCAGCTCCGTCCAACTCCTACCTACTGTTTCTTGGTCCCCGAATCGCTTCACACCCAGGGCTGACCGAACATACAGCACTTTCAGGTTATTTTCTCCTCTGTAAACGTTTCTGTCAATGAAATTCTGAACGCGTAATCCTGATGCTCCAGGACTTCGCAGCAAAGAGGCGCTTCCCGCATCTGACTCTAGTCTCCCCTGCTTTAGCTGAGAAGTAGTTTCAGACAAAGGAATTCCATGCATACTGCAGACCTGCTGGGGCTTTGGGGACCTGGGGATGACATCAGGCCACCCAGCTTTCCTGAGTCCTGCCCAATGGACAAGGCCCAGCAATGGGGATCTCTGGGATGCCGGATCCACAGAGAGGAGCACGGTGGCTCTGAGCGGTCCATCTGTTTCCAGGGGGTTTCGGAACCAAGAGTAGATTGGGGGGCAGTAGGAGGGTGGCTGGAGTCTGCTAAAGCCAGGCAGGGTCCCTTGCAAGAGGGAGACAGGCCTGGGGAGGAGAACAATCCTAGGAGGAAAGACAGGTCTCAGAGCTGTGGGAGGTGCCAACACCACCCTGTAGAGAAGTCGGAGACTTGGGGGCCAGGGGGGCTCAGTCTCACCCATGGCGAAACCTCAGAGAGTTTCACTGTTTGGGCATTTGATTAAAATAAGGTATTTATGTATCACTTGTGAAGTTAAAATGTAATTTTAAAGTAGTAGAAGATTGGTAGCAACTTAAATGATGGCTTCATAGGAACTGGCTAACTACGCGATGGCATGGCCGGTAAAAGGAATAGGGAGCACTGTGAGTATAGATATGGAAGAGTTCCCCAAACAGGCTCGAGTGGAAAAGCAAAGCGTGAAAGGAAGGAAGGCAGGGAGGGAGGGAGGGAGGGAGAAGCAAACTATGGATGCCTTTGGGCAAGGTATCCCATCTACAGTTTATACTCTCTACCACTCCCTGTTGCTTCATATCTGACAATCTGACCACCTCATCGCTTTAGGGTACTGACTAGCCCTAGAAAGTAAGCCTTTGAATTTGGAATCCTTGTTTTATATATACCTTGGGGGTAACAATGCTCTAATAACAATGAAAAATTAGACAAGGAATATTTGCTTTAACCTGTCAAAAAGAAAAGTAATCTAAGTTCCAAAACTCACATCTTCCCAAG